TAATGAGTCAAATAAATCGTTTATAATAAAATTAAAAAGAATCGGTGAGATACAGCTCCCTTGGGGAGGCCGTTCTCTAGATGGTGAGTGTCGGAAACGGCGGATCTGCATCTCAACGAAATGGTCTGATGCCGGAAAGAAACCAATAGATAATGTGCCAAATGGCCTTCTTAAACCCCTAACTGATGGAGCTTGAAAATTAGTGCAGGTTTTAAAGACCATGTCGTAGGCTCGGCTAATATCCAGGAATACAGCAGTTGTGTCGTGTCGATGTGTAAATGAACGTCTGATGTCAGTTTCAAGTCTGATGACATGGTCTGTTGTGCTTACGGTTGTGTCGGAGACCACATGATTTTTTGTAAGCAGGCAGTCTCGTTCTACAATCCAAGAGATTCGCTTCGCACCCATCCGCTCAAAAAGTTTTCCTAGACAGTGGGTAAGTGCAATGGGACGATAATTTGATGGATCTTTGGTTGTCCCTTTCCTGGCTTGCAAGTGGAATAATGATGGTGTCTTTCCAGGCGTCAGGAAAGACATGGGTTGACCACAAATCGTTAAAAACTGCCAATATAAAACGAAGCATATCTTCTGAAAGATTACGAAAAAAAGAATAGTGTAACTGATCATGACCTACTGAGGTGTTGCCGGCGGATTTTATAGCCTTTTGTAGTTCCAGTAATGAAAATGGTAAATTATAGTCTTCGGTGTTATCGGAAACAAAACAATCAGTATGTAAACGAAAACGGGTTTGCGCAGTTTCCACAAATCCTGGTCGGTAATTTCCGGATGAGCTACACTGAGAAAGACTTTCAGCAAGAGCATTGGCGATAAGAGGTGTTGCCGAAATGAGTTGGTTATTAATGCGTAAAGTGGGCAATGAAATAGAGGTGCGTTTTTCCGGAAAGTGCTCGAACCAGTCCCCATAGCTGGCTTAAGGGAGTAGCAGCAGTGAACTGCTGGATGTACGCTTGCCAAGAATGACGCTTGGCACTCCTTATAATTCGTCTGGTTCGAGCACGCTCATAATTTCGGGCAAGAAGATGAGGTACATCATGGTGGCGACGAAAGCAGCGGAAAGCACGTTTCCGACGCGCAATAGCGTTCTTAACTTCGGTCGTTCACCATGGTACTGGGATGCGGCGGTGGTGGCGTTTTAGTCAGTGGAATTGTCGCGGTTGCTGCAGCATGAATAATATGTGTAATAAGGCCAACACCCTGCTCTGGTGATTCATAACAGTCTCGGTTCACATAACAAAGTTCTTGAAATTTGGCCCAGTCTGCTTTTCGTAAATTCCAGCGGGGTATATGGATCGCAAAACTTCGTCAGCGGTTGCGTCAAAAGTGGTGTAAAGTTTAATTGGAAAATGGTCGCTGTCGTGTATATCTCCCTCAACAGTCCTATCAAAGTATGTTGCTATTGAGGGTGAGCACAGCGACAGGTCGACGGCTGTTTCTGTACCAGTGGGTAAGTGGTGATGAGTATTATTGCCTTTGTTTAACAGGACTGAGTTGTGTGTATCAATAAAATCTTCAACCAAATGTCCTCGGCGATTAACGGCTTGGGCGCCGTTACTACAAGCTGGACTGTGAGCGTTGAGATCGCCGAGGATGAGAAAAGGGTTTTGAAATTGAGCAACGAGTTGGTCAAGTTGCCGTAAGAGCTCCGTATTATTATAATTTGGTGTAATGTATATTGAGCATACATCGATGGTACGACCATGCAGTCGAACTGAACATGCAACAACTTGAAGAGATGTGTTAAGAGTGAGTGGCGTGTGTGTTAATTTTTGACTGATGTACAGCGCCACCCCACCTTGGCGACGCTCACCGTCCATCGCGTCATAGCGATATAACGAGTAATTCGGCATTTTAAGGTTATATGTGTCGGTGGGGCGAAACCATGTTTCCTGTACGGCAATGATGATTGGAGTTAGTACGGCAAAAAGTGCTTTCATTTCGGACCATTTTGAAATGAGACCGCGACAATTCCACTGTAAGATGAAAGGCATTTAGTGATAAAGGGATCCATTCCCACCGGTTGGTGGGAATCGCCCGAACGAAACAGATCTAGGCCATCCCATCGCCACCCTCACCGGTGGACGGGACCGGCGGTCTTCGTTCGTGCGTGTTTCGACAGGTGTTGTGGTGGGGGAAGGGGAGGTGATGTTTGTGTGGTAGCCAGAGGGTCCGGGCCGCCGACTGTTCATAGCCGGGGGGCTAGAACGCCGGACGGCCTGACCCACACGTGAATCACTCACAGCCGGCGGGCTGGAACGCCGGCCGACCTGGGGGCGGGGGTGCACGGGCGCCTGGGCATCCGAACGTCCAGCCAGGGGCGACTCAACGGCATTTTTCGTCTGGGTCTGTGTAGTTGACTCAACTGAAACCGAGGGGCGAAGGTTGAGAAGTTTCAGGGGAGGCAGATGGGTGATAGGGTCGGTCTGTGTTGCACATGTGGCCATCGTGGCTTTTGCTACTTGTACATATGTTTTGCTGGACTGCGACGACATTTTAGATCCAACGGTGCGCCGTGCTTCGGGGTACGACACACCTGTCTTTGCCTTTTCAGAACAAATTTCTTTTTCTTTTTTCCACGTGGGACACTGAGAAGAGTTGGCGGCGTGATAAGCACTTCCACAGCTCAGGCATTTCTGGGGTGATGTGCAGGCAGATCCCTCGTGAGGAGTCTCGCCACACTTCAAGCATCTGGCACTCTGTTTGCAGTACTTGCTGCCGTGTCCGAACCGTTGACATTTAAAACACCTGAGTGGATTTGGAATGAATACTCTTACTTTATAACGAAGGTAACCAGCGGTGAGCGAATCTGGAAGTCGGGTGGTACCAAAGGTGATAACAAGCAGGCTGGTGTCGTGA